AGCTGAGTGAAGCAATTGATGATGGAGACATTGGAGAACTACTGGTGTGCCTTTGCTCCGAGCACCCCGAGATCCGCATACAAGCCATCAGCAACATTCGACGTGTCATTGCGACTATTATGACAAGCAGCCGTAACAATGCCGAAGAAGACAACACAGCTACTGGACAGCAGGGACTCACTCCGGACTGGGATCTTCAGCAACTCTACCTTCTCCTCTGCGAGGTCTTGGAGTCGGTGGATCCGGCAGGTGCTGAAGCTTTTCCCTACGTTGGAGGTGTATTAGCCGCTCGTTGTGCTGGCATTGTAGCGGATCCCACACACACGCTCTTCAGCACAGTGAACAACTTCCTTACGGCCTCCCCAGCCTGGGATGTCCATTCGTTACTGCGGTTCTTTTGGCATCGCATCGTTGCCAGTCAACCAGACGACGACACCACCTACCACAAGGAAGTGGACTGGTACTTCGACTATCTTCTGGACAGTCTGCGGACACCTGCAGATATGGAACTGTTTAGGAAGAGCAACATATTTGAACAGCTGTTGACTCATTACGGCTCCCGATCATGTCCTGCGTCGGCAAAGGACAAGATCGTGAAGCTACTGCTGCGAGCAACACATGTGGAAGGCAGTACAACGCTCATCACGAGGTGCGGGCTTATCCCGTGGATACAGATGATGCTTGATGGCCATGATCCGCGACATCGCGCTCTGAGGACACTGGCCGGGCGTGTCTACGACACATGCGACCGGGAGAAGGTAGCTGCATGGAGCAGTGACAGCCTAGGCGAAACGATCGCTTCGCTACGCAAGGTCTGAGTTTTGTAGTTTTGTACATGTCTGTAAACCGTATGCGGCGTTGGGGAAGCCACTCGGAAGCATTGCAGGGCGTTGTTTGCGACTTCCTAATCTAGAGGTCATCTGAAGGTCATTTGTGGCGCGATCGCCTGGCAAGAAATCAAGGCTGCCACCATCACGCGATATGGTCTGATTCCCATGCGCAATCATGTCGTGATTATGTGAAGATGCGGCTTCAGCGAAAGTGCAGGCTGAAGTCACACGTGCTGGACCCTAATATGACGCACCTGCTAGGCACTCGTTCCCGCAGCACTTCTTGGCGCGCATCTCCCAGGGCTCTCTCGAAGAGGCCCGCACCGCTCGCGACCTGGACTCAAAACCACAACAAACATCTGCGCTATCAACCGCACCCCCGCTGCCTACCCCCAAGTATCCCAGAGCTCTCCAAGACATTTGCATCCCGAACCTGCTGTTCTGCTGTTAGCAGTGAGCTCGCAACCGTTTCTTCTCCGCTTTCTGTCGCCGCACACCCCTACCACGTTGCATCCCACCTCGAGCTCCCTCACCTCCTTCAACGAATTGCGACACGCACGCGTCTGCTCAACCTTTATATTGCGACCGCTCAGCATCACGCCATCGTACACGTCTCTTTGAACCGCAACCGTCACCGAGGCCGCATATTTAGTCCTCGTAAGGGCTGCAGAGCGGGCACTGTTCAATTGCAAGCGAGTCAAGCGATTCACCACCCGCCCGCTTCAGGACGGCCTCCTCACCCATCACCAATAACCAAACACTACACCACCTGCTTCTCGGTCTGCCTCTCGTCCCTGAGTAAAGCAAGCCTCGCCTAGCCCACACACACCTGCTCATTCGCGCTGCATCGAGCTCGCGAGAATGCGGGGGCCTACCTATTCGGAGGCTGACCTGTTGGCTTTGAAAGAGTCTCCCCTCGTCAAGAAGCCGGACGGGCTACCTTCAATCCAGCAATGGATGGATGTGCCTGCCGACCAAAACACCAACACTGGCCACGCCAACAACAATGGAACTATGCGTCGCACTCGGGCCGCTCGAGACGGAGAAGGGGCTACGCCAAATGAGCAGCGACCGCTGATCAACCCCATGGGCCAATTCGGTCGGCGCCAGAGCATGCGTAAGTCTTCTGATGTTCAGGGTATCAAGGCCGCTATTGACGCGCTTTTTGTAGAACCTGGCGAAGAGACAGTGCTCGGTCCGCCAAAGCTAGCCTTCCTCTCGGCGCGCACTCCAGCGAAGGGCGCAGGCGATACAAAAGAACGCACAGGCTTCACCTCTACAGACGGAGACAACGTTGGCGACCGCTTTCCAAAGAACGACCGGTGGACACGGGACCGCGAAAACGACCGGAACCGGGACAAGGGCTACGCCAATGGCCGTCGGGTTCCACGTGAGGACGGTGAGGGCTGGACAAATGTCAAAGGACGCAAGAGTCTGGGTCAAGAAGATTTTGAGCGCTTTCACCGTAATGGCGATCGCAACCGCGACAAGCACGAGGGGGACCCCGAGATGGACGTAGCCCCACGCCGTGGCAATCGCGAGCGAAACGAGCCGCGCTGGGGTCGTCGCGACGATAAAGATGAGGGTACAAAGACCGGCGTCCAGGGCGGTTGGCGCGAACGAGACCGAGATCGCGAGCGAGACAACGGCCGCGAGTGGAACAGGGGCGGTAACCGTGGTGAAGAAGACCCAGAATGGATGGACACCAAAGTGGAGAAGAAGGAGTTCAAGCCTCGCACACAAGAGGACTTCCAGCGCTGGAAGGAGCAAATGAGGGCTAAGGATACCCCGGCTGGCGAAAAAGAGGAATCAAGAGAGGTTCCCGCAGAGATATCTACGGCTGTCTCAATCACCGCTCCGCCTATGTTGACTGCGCCCCTGCACGCGCCTTCTGCGGCCGAACCTACACAGGGAATCCTCTTCGGAAACTGGGGTAGAGACAAGTCGGCAGAGATCCCACCAGCAGAGACCATCTCGGCGAAACCCAAGCCAGATAAGAAGTCGAGGTTCATGACAATGTTTGCGAAACCGGAAGAGTCGCAAGCGCCCAGCCAAATGCCGGTCGCGGCACCTGCATCGCCAGCACCTGCCATGGAGGCGAACGCCGACAAAGAAGGCTTCCAGCGTATCCTCCAGATGCTTGGTCAAGTCAGCACTGGGCCTTCCCCGGGACCCCAACCCCCCACGAGTATGCCAACACCAACGAACGGTATGAGACAGGGTGGAGGCGTCTCGTTAGACTTCCATCAGCAATCGCCGCCGCCGGATCTGCAGCATGGTAGACCACCTCCAAGGACACTCGAACAGCAGAGCATATTGGAGCACATCCTGGCTCCACGTGCCGGCCCACCGGATTCTCGACCTTCACAGCAATCCCGCTTCAACAGCATGTCACCAGAAAATGCACTTTCCGAACAATTCAGACCTCCACGCCCTGACTCCGGTCATCCAGAAGATCACTATCCTCACCAGCCCCCGCCGCAACGTGGTGCCCCGCAAGATGCAAACCTCGCAGCTTTGTTGAACAGTCGTCAGCGCGAGGATACGCAACGCGATCAAGTCACGAAGCAGCGTGAGCGTGACTTCCTATTGAATTTGATGCAGCAACCTTCTCGCGCTACACCACCGCAGGTACAGGGTCACAACTTGCCTCGCCCATCTCAGGAAAGTCATAACATGCCCTTCTTCGAGCAATCAAGACAGCAGCCTCAGCACCCTGCTCAACACCAGGCCAAGGGTCGTGGTGGTCTGCCCCCAGGTTTCATGGAAGACCCTCGTATGTTCACAGAGAACGAGATGCTGCGTCGTGAGGCTGCCGATCGCCAATTGGAGCTTCAGCATATGCAAAGACTGCAACAACAGCAACAGCAACAACAGGAGTCCATGCGAGCCAAGAACCAGCGCATGCCAATGGGATATCCCACCCCGGAAGATCCACTTATGGGCCTCCAGCGCCGCAACACAGGAGGTGACCCGCGCATGCCAACCAATATGGGTATACCTTCGCAGCCCGTACCGGATATGCCATATATGGGCGGACGAGGTCAACCAGGAATGCCGCCAACACCGCAAGAGCGGCCGAACATCGCTCCGCCACCAGGATTCGGCGGTCCAATGCGCCAGCCACCTGGCCTCAATGGTCCCAACCCTCAGCAAATGGGACCTGGAGGGCCGAGCTTCTCAGCTGGCAACACACCGCTTGGTCATCCTCCTGGCTTCCCGCCCGGTGGCAGTATCCGCGGATTAGGCTTTCCAGGCGGACCAGGAGGACCCGGTGGTAATGGCATGCAGGGCCCACCTGGCTACTTCCCACCTCCTGGCTATGGCGGCCCCCCAATGCCCGGTATGCGAGGTGGTGAAGATCCACGCATGATGTTCGACGGCCAATTCGGCGGACCTCCACGCCAGCAGCCAGGTCGTCCTGGGCCACCCAACATGTACTAGCTTCTCGTACAGTCTCGACTGAAGGGCTCACCTTCGAGCTTGAATGTATTCGGGGTTCATAAACCATCAACTTTACATTGATTTCAGCAGAATGTTATAATGTCAGTTCTTGGCTTCAAGCGTAGCGTCGGCGTCGGGGATGCTGTATATTTGGGTCTGGGCCTTCCCTTTTCTACAGCGATATCTCCCTGGAAAAGACAGGATTGGCATGTCGTCAGATTTCAGATGTGGTGTGTCTGATCTCTGAGGGTTTTATGTAGGTACGGTCACTTGGGCACTCTAATGTATAGAGGGGCTACGAGGCACGAGACGATGCCATCGCAGCAAGAACAAAGATGTACTGCGCTGCTGCAGCGTAGTTACACGAAGAAAGAAAGAAACAAGAAGAAAAGGCCAGCTCGTAGATCATAGAATGTATCGACAGTTGGTGCAACTTCACATCCCCGATGCGTGTGATCCGTATGTGACTGGAAGCTTAGTCTGATAATGCAATGAATCAGGCAGAGCGATTCTAAAACAGCTACGTGTGCTCATCTTCATAGAGCAGGTGAACTCCGACTTGACATACGCAGCATATACAGTTGTCGAAGCATAGAAGAAAGTTGAATTACATTGCTCGTGTGTATCACTAAATGATGAACGCCAGAAGATATCCCCCACCTTAACCGCATATGTTCATTGACATCATCCAAGAGTGCTACATTACCAGCTCACTCCTCAGCTCACTCACAGTACAAGCATACCGAGTAAGCTGCCCGCAGCCAGAACAGCATACGCGCCCATGACTAGATCGCCGTGGGGGAAGAAACCAGGCGCGTTGACGCTGGGGGCAGCACCCTCAGAACTGGAGCTTGCTGCACCACCGCTGCCGCTGCCACCACTAACAGCCGCAGTACCCTTGCCCGTAGCCTCAGGTACACTACCATCACCCTTGTTGCCCGCAGCACTCAGTAGCGAGGCACAGTTGCCCGCAGTGGTTGCACTCTGGATGCTAGCTCTGCCTGAGAAGCTGCAAGCATCTGCGCGCTTCTTCTGACCAATGTAGTATTGATTCGCGACGAAAGCAAGTTGGTCCTTGGGGTCGCAGCCGGAGTAAGCACCGAAGTCTCCGGTCGTGGAGTTGCGTGCAATGCCGTTGCAGTAATCTTCGTTCTCGCCGCAGATGAAGTTGAAGTCGTCGGCGTACTTGTCGTCATCGTCGGATTTGTAGACGCACTGCAGGCTGTCGACCATGCAAGCGCATAGCTGGGGGTTGACGTTGGGAGGCAGTGGCGAGGCTTGCGCGAGCCATGATCCTCCGACTGAGGGGCAGGCAGGTGCCGAGTTGGTGGGTGTGTATTCAGAGCGTTGAGTAATAGTTGGAGTGGCGGAGGCGAGCTGGCTTTGTAGAGATGTGAAGTCGGGGTAGGGCGATACGCTGGCGCCATTGTCAGCGAGTGAAACGAGTCCGTAGTCGTTTTCACCCATAAACCACTCGTAGACGATACCGCCAGAGAAAACGTCAGTCATGTTGCCGTAGAGAACCTCGACCTCGGTGAATGGACGGCTGGTGGGACCGTCATCCAAACCTTCGATGCATCCGTATTCAGCGAAGAAGACAGGGACGGGGTAATCGGAGAAGAAATCGACGCGCTCGCCATAGGAAGAAGAAGCGTAGTTGCTGTCGCCACACCACGAGTAGACGTTGTAGCCCCAGAAATCGATGGAGGTCTTGTTTCCTGAGTCGCCGGGCTGGCACGCGAAGTAGTGCGCAAGCTCATTGCGCGACGGCACATCGGCAGTCGCGTAACCCACACCTAGCGTGTTGCGGTAGTCTTGGTTTTGGATATACGTCTTGGTGTCACGGACAGCAGCCTTGACAAATCCGGCGGCAGCCGTTTGGTTATCGCTGCTGACGTTCTCGTTACCAGCAAAGAAGCCAATGACATTCTTGTATTTGCTCAGCGCGTCAATAACCCCTGTGTATCGCTGATACAGCGTGACGTCCCACTCTGGGTTGTTCGACTCGATCGACGTGCCAGGCTCTCCCAGGTCGGAGATGACATAGATGTCTGCGCTGGCCAGCTGCTCCATGCAGTCATCGTGGTTTTGGGTCGGATCGATAGCGTATACGCGAATGACATTTGTGTAGATCTGCTTGAGGTAGGGAATGTCTCGTCGGCAGGCGTCGCCGTCGGCTAATGGATCTGTGTATTTCGTATCGGCGCTTGTCGAGCCATTGGGAGAGTAGTTCTGCTGGTATGCGACACCCTTCAGATAGCTTGGATGCTGTCAGTATCGTGCTCTAGACTGGCAGAATGGGCGTGTACTCACAACTGCGAGCCATTGTTTGTGTAGAAGAAATGTTGGCCATAGACCTCAATGTCTGGTATGTCGTCGTAACTGGCTGCCTTTGCCCCGCTGGTGGCTAGCGCTGCCACGGCAGCAGAAACGATACCCTTCCACATTACCATGCTGATTGTCGATAGCGAATGTAGGTAATGAATGAATGGGTATTCGAAGCTTTCTCAGCGCAGTGCTTGGTAGGCAGTGCGCAAAAGCTTGGTTGCGGAGTGAGTGGATAATGGACAAAGAACCGCAGTGTTTCCGGGGCAGCCGGAGAGTTATTGTTTTCCTTGGTTTTAGGGAACCCGGGACGCGTGTCTTACGGGTTACGGCTGGCTGCAGGTACTATACTATTTCTATCACTTGGGTGGCTATGCTGACAAGTCGCCCGGCCCGAGGTGGCGACGTAGGCGCTGATGACGCTGCTGTCGTTGTTTGGTGTGGGGCTGTCGATTGGGCGATCTATCGATTAGTCGAGGGCTAAGCTTTTCGGGAGCGTTTAGTGGGTTTGCCTTCCCCAGTTTTCTTCATTCTTGGTTGGCGTCGCGCTGTGCTGCTCAAAATCGGGCAGACTTTTGACTTGTCCGTTGCTGCGTGCTACGTGCTGCGGGAGTTGAGGAAGCGACACGCGACGCAGGTCCAGAGGTCCGCCATCAGCCGCGCATACCCCGTATCCGTATCTCGCTTGTTACGATGAATGATGCAAGGATGGCTCCTCAGTGCCGAGGTCCGCCAATAGTAAAGAGAAGGAGCAGGCTCTTTTGACAATGTTGTTACTATCGGTGACTTTTACAAGACTGGATGGAATGCCAACTGAGTGGAAAGAAATAGGTATCGTACACACGACCTCCGTGCCATTTGCCAGCGATGATGACTGGGCGTTCGGGAATAATACCTAGGTACCCTCACCATGGCAACTAGTCGCGGCCCTGCAGCCCTCACCTCGCCGCTATCGCACTACCATCTCCATGCACAAAAAGAGCCGACGTAATGGTGTACGCAATCTGCGGTCTTTGATTCGTATTCCGCAAAGAGAGAATCAGTTCAGATGCCCCTGTTTCCTCAGAACACCCTCCCAACCACAAAAGCCTCAAACACGGCGTTCTCAAAAGCTTCTCTCTCAACCACACCACCGAAGCCATAACACCGCACTAATGCCACCAACTTCTCTTTCAAGCTGTCCCACCTGTATGCCTCCAGTCCCGCAAATCCCTCTTGTCGCCGGATATAATCCCACGCCTGTACTGGCGTGACTTCGCCGTCTTGAAGCGGAACATAACTAGACAGTGCTAGAAGCTGGTCGATACTCGCATGTGGAACCTCCCAAGTCGAAGGAGAGAACTGTCGTTGCCCAGGTGGTGAAGGGTGGAGATGAAAGAGGCATGCTGAGACAGTCAAGGCGTGGCCGGTCGAAGCAGAAGTATCTGTGTCGGATCTGCCAGTATTGGGCGAAGCCACATCGATATGTGGTAAACAGGGAGACTCAAGACTATACGTAGGAGTTTAGTGACGGCGCAGTGAGGAAAGACAACAGGGATCTCATACGTCAAGACGAAGTCCATCCCAACAAACTCTGGGTCCATGTTACCCATGCATATCGCAGAGCCACCAGGCGAGCCCGTGGTGGATGTGTACCCTGATAATGCGGAGCCAGACAACGGCGGACTTATGAGCTGTGCCGAGCCGGCTGCATGACAAGTGTCAGCTACCACGGATTGAGAACACTTGTCGTAGCCCAGCCGTAGTGTACTTACGTAACGATTGCTGAGACACTTGCTGTGCGTATATCTGTTTCCGTCGGTTCTTTTTCTTGTTCTCTTCTTGCCCAACGGTTAGAGCGATCCTCTTCTCAATCTCCACGTTCGCTCCCTCTTCCTGTTGAGCAAGTCCTACTCTTGATCTATCGGGTACGGCAATGCCGTTTTGAGTCAGCAGACCTTTCAAGAAAGCGACCTCAGAATACAGCGCCTTGGTTTCTTGCGACAATCGAGCTTCATTTGCGCGGAGCTGGACTACTTCACTTTCGAGAGAAGCCGTGTATGCTTCTTTGCGCTCGCGATGTGTTCTGATTCATGTTCAGTAGAGCACCTGACGTATAAACACGGAAGCGCAACGTACTTCTGCGCTCGTCGAACCTGTTCTCGCCGCCTTTGTCCTGGATTACGCGTATCGCCATCGTCTGAATACAGCGAGATGTATGCTTAGCGACCCGTACCTGGAGCTTCGTAGGCCCTGATTGGACATACCGTCGGGAGAACTCTTGTCGCCTTTGAAAGGCTTGAAGGTGAACTTCATCACGTGCACAGCCTGTATGGTGCTCCGGTATTCAGATGTGGTGTTCTGTCAGCCACCCGATAGGAAGACCGGAAATGGACCACTGTGCTTATGGCCCCAAAGTGCAGAAACCTGATAGGTAATCAGTCTCTCTCGGAAGACAAGAGCGATCAAGGCGACGAAGCTGCGCGTGCTGCGCAGATGCCAAGTCTAGTGTTCCCATTATGCCGTATCCATCTCAAATGTCGCGCCAATGACAACGGCCCGGTTGACATGTCTGACGGGCGCAGTTGAGACACGGTGTCACAAGTCAAATTGCGCGCCCTGGCCCTGTTCTCAGCTGGGAATTCTAGGCTAGCCCTCTCTGGTAATTGCTTCAGAATCAAATTTACTCGTTCAGGCAATAGATCGACGAAGCGCTCGCTTGACACGGGCACCGTTTCGTATTTACCGCATACCCGATATGTACCATCTCTTCGCGCTGCATTTTCCACGAAACCAAGCGACGGGTGGTGCGGAGAATCCTTGTAATCTTCAGCCTGAGGCTGTAGAAGTGGCTTGCTCCCCCGGTCGTCCTCTGAAATTATACGCCATTCCGGATTAGGCAATCTTGATCGAATAATCGCGGTCTCTTGGAACGCAATAGTATGAGGATTTGGTTCCAAGGCAGTTTCTATAAGAGAAGGATATGTCTTTGATGATGGGGCCTTCAACAGATCAGCTGGACTCTCTATCTTACCTTCTCCACACACTCGCTCTCAGGCTACCCATTCACACTTCATCATTAATCTCTGTTCTGTCTTGACGCCGTACTCAACACCGCAAACATGTTCACAAAATCATTCCTCTTCGCTCTCCTTCCATCGGTGGCGGTAGCAGCACCACACCAACGACCCCGTCCAGACGCACACCAGGGACAACAACAAGGTGGAATGAGCTGCATGCAGCAGCAGAGTGCTGGAAAACCTGCTGTCGGCAAAGCCATCTACATGTTGACTAACGATGCCGAGAACGCTGTCGTTGCGCTGCCCATTGGAGCCGATGGTATGCTTTCGCAAGGCAAAGTTATGAAGACGGGTGGTGCGGGTTCTGTTGCTGTCGATGCAGATGGCAAACCCGCGACGCCTGATGCATTGGTTGGCCAGTCGGCATTGACTGTCGTTGGGAGCGTAAGTTTAACACATCTCCGGAGAATATGGACAAGAATGTCGGACTGACGAGTCTCAGAACCTGTTTGCCGTGAACGCTGGCTCCAATACGCTTACCATGATGACCATATCAGCCAACGATCCCACATCACTCGCCTGCGCCGGCAAGCCTGTAGCCATACCTGGAGAATTTCCCAACACCGTCGCAGCATCTGCAAAGAACAAGCTCGCATGCGTGGGAACCACGGGTGCACTAGCTGGAATATCATGCGCACCTTTCTCCGAGCAAGGGCTTGGACAGATGGACGACCTCCGGCCGTTCGACCTCGGACAGACCACTCCCCCCGTTGGACCCCTAAACACCGTGTCGCAGGCGTTCTTCTCATCCGATGAGTCCGCTCTCTTCACGACCGTCAAGGGCGATCCAACCGTAAACAACACAGGGTTCCTCTCCACCTACGCAGTGCAAGCTTCCAATGGCGCCGCCGCTCTCTCGAAGAAAGACGTTCGCAGCTCACCCGAAGGAACCGCCGTGCTGTTCGGCTCAGCTACCATGCCCAACGACCCATCCTCCCTCTTCGTCACCGACGCGTCCTTTGGTGCTGCCGTCCTATCGGTAGACTCTCAAGGCCAAGCGACAGTCAAAGGCTCCCAGAAGATCGACGGTCAAGCAGCAACCTGCTGGGCAACAATTTCCGATGCAACAAAGAGCGCATTCGTTACAGACGTCGGTGTCAACCGTGTTGTGGAGATGAGTCTAGATGACGCGAGCATCATCATGCAGCTCGATCTGTCTGCTAATGGCGATCCTGGTCTGATTGATCTCCGCGCTGCAGGCGACTTTGTCTATGCCTTGAGTCCTGGCAATGGAACCACCAACGCGGCGATTACAGTGCTCGATGTTTCCGGAGGTCAAGGGTCAATGAAGCAGGTGCAGCATTTCGACCTGGGCGGAATGGCAGGAAAGACCGCTCAAGGTATGGCTGTGATGATGTGAGGGGTCTGCTGGTGTCTTTGTAGTATGTAGTTTCTAATTTTGTTAGTTTTTATATGTATCATACTCGATGTTACGTGCGCGCTGCTACGCTGCCTGTACATCATGAAAGCCAATTATTTGCCATAACACTACTATAGTGTGTCATTGAAGTCTCTTTTAGTGTAACGTCCTGCACCATTTCAATTCGCACAGGAGCGAGTTCTACAGTATTTCTACATTTTGTACAGGTCGTTCAGTCGTAGCGTTCGTGCACTCATCTGAGGCCAACTGTGTGTAACCGGCGTATTTGTTTCCTCTTTTCTGGGTTTGAAGCGGGCGGAAAGAAATCACCAGGAGTGGGACGTGGTCGGTGCATCTGTTGCGCGGGTGTCGGCGGGCTGGCAGACTTGCTAGACTCGGTGGGCGACGTGTTGAGTGCCTGCGGCGACTCTTGTGTTCGATAATCAAGATCTTCGGCATCCTCTTCCAGATCTTCGATGTCTTGCTCCAGTTCTCTTAGTGCTTCATCGGCGGTCTTGTCCTTCCTTTGATGTGTCCTTAGCACTCCACCCCACAATGTCTCGAGGTCTGTCTCGGCTCTCTTCTCTTCTGTGAACATCTGCACGACTACATTGACGCCAGGCTTGATGTCTCTGAAACCGACAAACTGTTTCACATCATCTCCGGGCATGTGCGTGTCATCGGGATGCGCTTCCAGTTTCCCAAGTGTGCAACAGATCCAGCCTGTGCGTATACCGTCGTCAATGTTGCCTTCGGGTGCGGAACCACCAACGTTTGCCAACATTCGCATGCGCTTGGCCTTTCGCCTCAGCTTGATCTTCAGCTCATTGCGACCCAGCAAACCGGCTGCATTCGCCTTCAGTCCGTGTTCGCGTCGAAGGTATCGGCAGAATCGGTCGGCTGCTACGTGGAGATGCTTTTCCGAGCGCGCTGTTGCGATGAGCATGATCAGCTTGGGGCCGAGCGCAGGCGGAGGGTCAAGATTTCGCAGGTCGAGCAATTGCAAGTCGTCGAGACCGGCCGTGATGGAGACATATTCGAGAAGGGTGGCTAGGAGAGGTGGCGGGTTCGGAGGGAGGTCTGGGATCTGGGCGGGATTCAATGCGGGCGACGGGACCGATGACTGTTGTCTGAGATACCACGGGATTGCATTGTCTTGTTGGGAAGGTGGCGTTGTAGATGGCGAGGCCTCGGTCGCGACTTCTGGCGCAGCTTCTTTCCAGCCCTCGGAGGCGTTCGTTGTGGCTTCCTGGGATACAGTGTCCTCGTTAACAGGCTTGGAACTGTCATCGAGGAAGGCGAACCCGGGATCGTCGGTTGAAGGATCGTTCTTGTCTACCCGCCGAAGTGCACTCGTACTGAAGGCGCATCGTAAGACTGTCGAAGGCGCGGTGCGCAAAGATGCGCCATTGGGTCGGGGCACTGAGGTAGATTGGCGAATCTGGGTACTCCGACAGGCATTGCAGATGAACCTAGAAGAGGCAGCCCTAGAGAAAGACATGGTGTGGATAGAGCAGACACGAATAGTGGCATGGCACTGCGCAGTTGGACTTTCTCGATGACATCGGTGTTTCGTAGCACCGACTGTGGGCCCCTACTAGCGTCCTATGAACTTCCCCATCACATGTCTAGCCTTGTAGCACCAGCATTGTGATGACAGCACGCTATCGTGTATAAACGATATCCGTCGCACGAGTTATAAATGGCACTACTATAGAGTGAAAGCTCGCTCATTCTGTGTCTATGATAAGACTGACAATTGTCTTCAGCGGTTTAGGTAGCGGGATGCATCTGCCAAGAGAGCTAGTGGGGGCGAAAGAGGGCTTGCGGCGAACTTTTGAAAATCATCGGGCACGCGGGGCACCAATTTCAAAGCAGTCACTGACTGTCCGACTCACACCGACCGCTGCTTCTCTCCTTATATATCCTTCCCCTGGTCCTCTGATACCTAGAGGGACGCGCACTATCGAAACCTCTCTATCCAAACACCACCGCACACATGGAGGGCGTCGTGATGGATGCTCAGCGCTCTTTCGCGCCTGAGCCCAAGAACTCGGCCACGATTCTCTGCGCAGACTGCGGCGCGCCGGTTGACGGCACACTCTCGGGCGCCTTTTGCTACGACTGCATCAAACTCAAGACGGACGTGACGGGCGGCATCCAGCGCGAGGCAATCCTGCTCATGTGCCGCGACTGCGACCGATGGCTCTCCCCGCCCACCACCTGGGTCGTCGCTGCCCCCGAATCGCGCGAACTGCTCGCTCTCTGCCTGAAGAAACTGCGCGGTCTGAACAAATTGCGAATCATCGATGCCGGCTTCATCTGGACTGAGCCCCACAGCAGGAGGATCAAGGTTAAGATTACCGTGCAGTCGGAGATCAACGAGGGCGCCATCATGCAGCAGAGCTTCGAGGTCGAATACACACAAAACTACAACCAGTGCCCAGACTGCGCAAAGAGTTACACCCACAACACATGGAGGGCCTGTGTGCAGATCCGCCAGAAGGTGCCACACAAGAGGACCTTCTTGTACTTGGAGCAGTTGATCCTCAAGCACGGAGCCCACAAGGACACGATCAACATCAAGGAAGTTCACGACGGCATCGACTTCTTCTTCTCCCAGCGAAATCATGCCGTAGGCTTCTGCGACTTCCTCAAGGCCGTCATCCCAGTCAACATCAAGCGCTCCGAGGAGCTCATCTCACACGATATCCACACTTCAACCAAGAACTACAAGTTCTCCTTCTCCTGCGAAAT